GGCCGGCGACACACGTGGTTACCACAGTACTCACCGCCTCAGCGCGGAGCGCATACACGATAAGCCAAAACAATCACTTTTCACATCACTCGGTGCGCGACGTGATCGACACTTCACTGCGCGACGCAATAATCACTACACGGTACGGCGCAACGCAATTGTCACTGCACGGTCCTCCGCGACGCAAGAATCACTACACCGCGCGACGCAGTTATCACTTCACTGTCGGCGCCACGCGATCAGGATCGTCCTCGAACGCACGTACGCGGGCGCACTCAAAAGTATCGGAAGTCCGGTTGCGGCCGGAAGTGCACGCGGCGGCCGCTGCGGGTGTGCACCGGCGCAGCCGCGGACGGCTTGTCGTCCTCGTCCGGCGATGCGGAAGACGTCACTCCAGGTCTTGAAGTCCTCTTGCTGGACGGTCTTGTAGTCGTCGGCGTCGGTGTCGGCTCGTCGGGCGCCCCAGTGGCGAGGGGCCCGAGCGAGGTCGACGGTGACGGCTGCTGCTCCGGAGCCGTAGGCTCGGTACTGCTCGGACCAAGCGTGTCCTCAGGTGGCGGCATGTGTGCCGGTTTGAGTCTGTCGACGCTTACAGTGTCGTGGGCGCCAGTCGGCAGCTCCAACGTGAACACTTTAGGGCTGCGTCTGATGACTCGCATGGGGCCGCGGTACGGGGACTCCAGAGAGTGCCGCACGCGGTCAACGCGTACCCACACGTGTGTGCATGTCATGAGATCGGGTGGCACGTGCGTCGGTGGTGTGCGGGCGTGGTTCGAGCCCTGTGAGAGTGTGACAAAATCGATTTCTGACATACGCTTTGCCAGTTCTTGGACGTACTTTGTCCCGACGGGGACCTTCTCGACGGCGCAGCGGGGAAACAGCACCTGCGCGCCTGTGACGGCAGTGAATGCCGAAAAACCCGACTCTGCTGGCATGGCTCTCAAACCTAGCAAAACGACGGGAAGCGCGCGCAGCCACTCTTGCCTGCGCGCCCGGATGGCGGCTTTGAGCGTTCGGTGGACTCTTTCCACCATCCCATTACATGTCGGATGATAAGCAGTGGTTCGGAGGCGATGGAAACCTATCATTGAAGACAAGTGTGAAAACAGTTCTGATTCGAATTGGGAACCGCGGTCCGTGACAACATGCAGTGGCACTCCGAACCGGGACACCCAAGTGTCGAGGAAAGCAGAGGCTACACTTTCCGCGGTGATCGAGACCAACGGCACGGCCTCGACCCAACGCGTGGCGCGATCGATGCATGTCAACAAATAACGAAATGGCGCGGTGAAGGGGTGCCCGTGGGGTACTGACGGGGGCAGCGGCCCGACTATGTCTATATGTACAGTTTCGAACCGCTGTGAGGGCACGTCAAACCGACCGGGCGGAGAACGAGTGTGCCTGTGCACCTTGGCTTCCTGGCATGCTTCACACTCCTTCACCCATCAGCGACTTCACTGTGGTAACCACGTGTGTCGCCGGCCGGCACGGGAGTTCCCGGCGCAGACCGATTCGCGCGTCGACTTGTGACGTCGCTACCCCGCCCCGGCGCTGGGGGGCGGCCCAGGACGTGTCTGTTCGTGAACTTTGTCCCATCACGATGCGACCGCGTGTCTGCAGCCTGCATTGCAGCAGTCTGCTGACCAATCCGCGCTCGATCCGTCGCCGCGTGGTCTCCGAGTGTTTCTGCGCATGTCTGGGGCCCAGCCCGCTGCGTCGGGCCGCGCGCTCCGCTCCCCCGACTTCTAGGCCGAGCTCTTGACCCGAGCAGACGCGTCACGTCTGGCTCCAAAAATGCCCTGCTAATCTAAAGTTCTAAATCCCGGACAGAACGGGCCTAATGGAGCCAGACGTGACGCGTCTGCTCGGGTCAAGAGCTCGGCCTAGAAGTCGGGGGAGCGGAGCGCGCGGCCCGACGCAGCGGGCTGGGCCCCAGACATGCGCAGAAACACTCGGAGACCACGCGGCGACGGATCGAGCGCGGATTGGTCAGCAGACTGCTGCAATGCAGGCTGCAGACACGCGGTCGCATCGTGATGGGACAAAGTTCACGAACAGACACGTCCTGGGCCGCCCCCCAGCGCCGGGGCGGGGTAGCGACGTCACAAGTCGACGCGCGAATCGGTCTGCGCCGGGAACTCCCGTGCCGGCCGGCGACACACGTGGTTACCACAGTGTAACAAACCTTACCTGGTTATCTTACCTGGTTCAAGCCTATCATGATCTGAAGCGGTTGTAACAAATCAAAATTGCTTTGATGTTACATAGTACCTTGTTGGAAAGACTGGAGCATGGTTCAAGATGATGTGTAAAAATTCAAGATTTGTGGGAAAGCTTGTGACTGAAGAACGAAAACAGTTCTATATGATGGCTCAATCAAACATGGAAATGGACGACAAAAGTAGAGTTTCAACATTCCAGCATGTGAGAATAACTTCAGAAATTCATAATTCTTGTAGTATTGCATTCTTCTTATGTACAGTTATAGGTTTTGTTAGGGTATTTGAAATTCATTGTGTCAGTTGAGATATAGATGGATTGCGGACAAATTTTAGAATCATTGCAGGGTAGCTAGGTATAAGGTACTTGTTCAGTAAAAGGGTATGTGATGAATGCCATGAGAAGGTTTTTATGATTTAATATATGGCCGTTGTTGTACCTACAAAAATGCAAGCTTACTAGCAACTAGTTTCTGAATCAACTCGAAAGTATTTGCCATGGATGTAAATATGTTCCTGCAAAGTTTGTCAATAAATTTGTGTGATGTTGACCAGAGAGCTTTATCATCTGGGCATTTATGTCGCTTCTTACATAAGGTGTTAAGCATAGTAATTACGGATGAACTTTGTGCCAATATCTTAAATGCACAATGTATGTAGCATGTCTACAACCCTCACTGATCTATATAGCTATAGGCATTTGGCACCAGCAAGACCAAGGGCATGAACTTCACAATTGCTCAACCTTTTGTCATGTACCACCAGTCACTTTTTTACTTAAGGTGCACATAGCAGTGCACACAACAATGTGCAGGGGGCCTACACAAAAACAACATGATTGTTGTGTTATGGTCCAACCCCCGCACGGCTGCTGGCCGCGCCTGCGCGCGCCCCTGCCGCCGCCACCGCTGGCCGCCCCGGCTCCGTGCCTGTGAGCGCCTCTGCCGCCGCCAGCTGACGGTGCGCGCCGAGCGGCGAGACTGGCGCGGGCGACGAGGCGCGGCGCTCGCCATACTTGTTTCTCTTTTGGACACTCTTTCGGCCTGAACGTATCGCAGTACAATAAATCGCGTTTTCCATTGATTGTGTGCTCTTTCACTCGAAACGAACCAAAACATAACAATGATTAGTGTGCACTATGCACAGGATTGTACCCTGATTATTTGAATATTTTGATCACTCAACAGTCAATAGTCAGGAGATAATTATTAAATATCACATTTATTATACATCACTTGTCAAACAAGAGCATGATGACACACATTTTGACAAGCAATTATGGTAGTATTCCAATAAGTTGGACAGTCATCTCCCTGGGCGTCATTTTTCCAGGAAGGTACCTCTGCAGGTGTTGTGGTAGGCTAGGTTGAATTGGGTCAAGTTAGGCGAAGTAAGGTCAGGTGGTTAGGACCCGGTCAGACCGTAAGGGTTGGTCAGGTTGATTTTAATCTTTCATTCTAATTTGACATAGATATCTATTACCTATGTTTTTGCTCCAGCCTGAATTTCATTAGGTAATGAGTTAATTTTGCTTTGTTTTTATCTGTCTTGTTTTGTGTTTTTGTCCCTTATATTTTGCCCCATAGGCAAGGGTGGAGCTTTTCCAGGGAAGGTGGTGGAGCATGATTGGGGGCGCTCAACCAGCCGGCATAGGAGGGCATGGTTTCTGAACGCGCACTGATGCCTGATTCAAGCCACGCTGTCTTCATGCGTGGCGGCGCGCTATTTAAAGTCCCTAAAAGAACGGGAAGTGATGCCGATAGAACCTTCAATCATTCTGGGCTAACGCTTATGACTTGGAAAAAGTCGCGATCCCAATTCAATCGAAAACCTGTGGGCTCTTGTTTAGCAGGTGTATGAAGAGCCACCCGCCATGACCCGCCATAAGCACTGCTCAACCGCAGGCACAGGTTTAGACGGCATTGGTCCGCATCAAAGCCAGTGTGCTGGAGAATCCATTGGCTGAAATGCTCCAGAACATTCGCCACTGTGTGGTTTCCTCATTTCCTCTCTGACTGTCCTTTGAAACCACTCCAAAGATATGCAGAAACCAACGAGGTGAGTAAACGAGGTGAGTAAACTGTGTTTTTTATGAAAGGTGGCTACAATCTCAGTTCAAAGAAAAGGTACCAGATTGTTTTGTTTTTACAGCGGGAAGAAAGGTGTCCGGATAATTTCGTTACACCCCCTGTGATGTTCAAATGATTGCTAAATTCGAACTCAGCTCCAAAAACTAGCCTAGAAACATGTAAAACTCGAAAAAGTGAACCGAGGTCATCAAAGGTCATTGAGCTGACCTGACCTTCAGGTGACCTTGACACCCACCCTAATGCATGGGACCAGCATCATATCACATGTTTCAACGCTTGAAACCACGTGAAGACTGCAACCGCGCGGCTAATGCGAGCCGACATACGCCGAATCGCGATTCGGGCCAAACATGGTCTCGAGAAATAGGTCACAGATCAAAGGTCATTTGGGTCAGGGTCATGAAATTTTCAGGGTAGGTGTAAAATTGATAAAATCGGGGTACTGAAAGTTTCGTCGCGATCGGACGGTTTTTACGCGAGTTACTCACGAAAAACCGATAAAGCGCACCCAAAAAGGCAGAAATATGCACATGCGATATCCTATACTGCGAAAAAAAGGTGCATCATTTTTGAACGTCGCCCACAAATTGTAATTACCCTAAGCTTAGGCAGATGTATGGTAGAAAACCCCCCAAGTGAAATACACTACGGCGGAAATAAAATACCCTACGGCGGAGCTCGGTTGCAATTTGTAAATACGCTATCCATCAACTGATCCTCCACTCCTCTACCGAGTGCTTAAGTTTTCCGATATATTATTCTAAAGTAAAACTGGTTGGTAGCAGCAAGTTAAGAAATTCTCACGAGGAAAGCATATGAAGATATGTCAATGACACGCACTCCACCGGTGAAAATAAGGCAAACAAGAACACGCTCAGCACTACAGTCATCTGGTGCGTCAGTACCGCCGCATTCAGAGCTGTTCAGAGCGTCGCGACCATGTGGAGAGTGGGGATGGTACTGAATGTTCTGGAATTATAAATGATTCGGGTGATGGTGCAAGTGGTGCTAAGATAGATAGAAGTGAAGGTCGACTGGGAGGTGAATCAGGTGAGAAAAACCCACCAGCTTCTACTCCCCATGCACCAGCTGGAGCCAAAGCAGTAGGTAAGCTGGACACGAGCGCATTTAAGCCATTTGGTGAGGCTAACATCTCAATCTCTCGATCATCCAGCGACACGAGCGATACAAACCAGTCGGGCGCACTATGGTATCGGCAGTCCATTTATAGAAACGTTTCTATTTTTGGAAGAAAGTTCCAAAAATGGAAACGCTAAAAACCAACTGTTCCAATAATGGAAACGCTCCGTTTCTATTTTCGGAAACGCAAGGAGCCCTTTAATAAAGTTCACAGCTCGACGGTTCTGAACAAACTGCATTCAATCGGCATTAGAGGCCATTTGGCCATCTTTCTTCGTAATTTCCTCAAACCTCGCACCTTCAGAGTTCGTTGTCAAACCACGCTCTCTGACGCTTTCCGAATGGAGCACGGTGTACCCCAAGGAAGTGTATTGTCACCTACCCTATTTCTAATCGCTATTAATGATCTCTTTTTATCACTTCCACGGTTTCTTACCCTCTCTGTCCGTTACTCACTTTTCGCCGACGATATTGCAATATGGGTCTCCCACAAAAGCTATAAACAAGCCTTTTCAATTATACAAAAGGTAATCGATCACTGCGTTCAATGGTGTAAGAAATGGGGCTTCTTTCTGTCAGCTCCTAAGTCAGCTCTGATGGTCTTTAAAAGGGGACCTCTACCGTCCTTGGACGAATCGCCACAGATTGATGGAAATAGAATCCCGTTTTACACATCCCACAAATTTTTGGGGATAATCCTGGACTCAAATCTGACTTTTCGACTCCACGTAGAGCACATCAGGACACGTTGTCTTAAAAGAATAAACGCCCTAAGATGCATCTCAGGTTTTACCTGGGGTGCGGACAGAAAAACGTTGTCAATGCTTTATATAGGACTCATCCGATCTACTCTCGAATACAACTGTTACCTTTTTAGTACACTCTCGCCCACTCTTTGTAAACGGCTCGAAGCCATACAATCAAATTGTCTACGGATGATAACCGGGGCGTTCCGCACAACACCGACACTCTCCCTGCGAACGGAGGCAAACCTGCCAGCACTAGAAGACCGCCGTTTCCTCCTTTTCCTACGATACTACTATCGCGCCAAAAGTATTCCAAACCATTCTGCAATTCCAGCGATGGAAGCCAGGAAACCCTTTTCCCGGCAACCTCTCCGCAGGTCGTGCTTCCTTCCAGAAATTATAAATCAGGCTCATGAGATACTCAACATTGGCCAAATAAACGTTGCCTCTAAACCGCCTATGCTTCCCTTCTGGCTCCTGCGAGACATTTCTATTGAATATCTTTTTAACGATTCAAAATCTAACATTTCGCCAATGGATGCCCAATTGCTGTTCCATGAGTATGTACAGAGAAACCTAGACTCCACATTCTTCTACACTGACGGCTCATGTCTTTCAAACCAAACGGGCGCGGCAGCCGTGGGCCCGAATATTAGATACAAAATACGCCTGCAAGACCATGCCACTATTTTTTCAGCAGAAGTTCACGCTATTCAAACGGTAGTCCGTCATATACAAACACTTCACATTGAACAGGCAATAATCTGCACCGATTCCAAATCTGCCCTTCAGGCTCTAGAAAGAACTGATAACGTCACCCACTACTGCATCCAAAATATCCACAAAATGCTACTAGAACTAGACGAAAGTCAGCATATAACTTTTCTTTGGGTGCCAAGTCATTGTGGCATCGCAGGGAATGAGCTGGCAGACACCCTCGCTAAGGAAGGAGCAATGAGAGCAGACCCTAGTGGGGTGCCTCTCTCGATTGGGGACGTCTGCCACAAACTCCGAACAAAATTTAATACTTACCTACAAAACAAATGGAATCAAACCCACTCTCCTCATTTATATGCGATCAAGCAAAATCTTACATCCTGGACAACTTGCAACCAGCCAAATAGGATTCGCGAGGTTACACTGGCAAGGCTACGATGCGGACATACTCGTTTCACCCACTGTCATCTTTTCGAAAGGACGGACCCACCAATGTGCCAATCATGCAACACACGCATTACGGTTGAACACATTCTAATCGGATGCACAGCCCTCCGCAACGAACGAAAACATATCAACAACTACCTTACAAAATATCGCCTCAGAAACGATCTTCCGACTCTTCTCGGAGATGATCCAGCACTAACTGATCTAGTACTTGATTTTGTCTTAAACTCACCTTATTCCGACAAACTGTAAAGTAAGCACCATTACTTGGCCTTAGGCATACCGCATTACAAGGAATAGGTATATAGTCGCCGAACGAATGCGAAAAAGCGTTTTTTTTTTTTCATCCTTCTCGCTATCATCGCAAGGAACTGTCCACATACTCTGGGGTTGTCCCTTCACCCACTGCACAACGACGAGCAGCGGCCAAGGATTCTTCAGTCACGGACCCGGCCGCTGAACAGCGGCAGCGGCCGGGTTTGGACGACCACAGGCCCGGGTACAACAATCGGATCTCAACAGCGGCAGCGACATATCCTCCACTCTTCAAACCATTCCTATCATCCAACTTTTATCGTAACATCGTAACCCTACCAATTACCATTCACAAACTTCCTCCTTCCCTCCTCTCACAAACATCAATTTAACGGTAAGTCTCACTGTCATTTATGTATCTTAACGTAAATTCATGGGTTTTTCCCCATATTCATGGCATAGTACATGGATATGGGTTTTCCCATGTTGTCTTGCAGTAAAAGTGGCCACCGGTCTTAGTTAGGACGGCCGGTTTCTTTTGCGCGGCGTAGTTAGGTCGCCGCCCTCCTCGCGAGGCCAGTAACGTAAGTAAGGGCCACTAAAAAAAAAAAAAAAAAAAAACTTCCTTTTGTAAACAATATATTTTTTCATGATAGGTGAACTTTTATGTGTCATTAATGAAATATACCTCATTTTTTTGTGGAAAAATTTTATTTTCACAAGAATGGCAATTTTTTAATTGACAGACTTGCTGTCTGGTATTCATTAATATCCTACATTGCTGTAAAGCAAGCCCTGAATGGCGTGTTGGTGACCACGTGCGGAGATCGTCTCTCCGGCTTTGGAAGGCGGTAAGTTGGAAAATATTTCGTACAGATGCTTCTAAGTGGGCAAACTGAACTTCTTAGCACCCATTTAAGTTATGAATGTGTGGAAGTTGGTAGAATGTATGTAAATAATTGCATTTAAGGTCTGATATGTTACTGCTTGTCGGAAGCGATCCAAGCTGTCGTCCAGTTTTAAACGATTCAATTATATGAAAAAGCGATGACAAGGTGTTATAAACAATTTCTATGGATAGGGAGATGCTCAAACTGTGCTAATTGCCCACTTTGCACCGTATTAGTTCAGTAGGACTTCAGTTAGTGCCTGTGTAAGGCCCATTGAATAATGCTTTATGAAGCACAGTTTCCATTTTTGGAACAAATGACGAATTTTAACTCAAGTTGTACATACAGCTCACAGATGCAGTAGGTTATATGTATTTCAACTCTTATTTGCATTTAATGTTTTTAGAAGCACCTTCTGCCTTTCTCATTTCTAATAATCCACGAGAAGGTTGGAAAAGGTGCATGCTCCGACAGCATGAAATGCGAACCGGAGCTTCTGAACCGCCCTGATTAGGCCGAAGTTTAACTCCAACCTTACTTATAAAGCCTTGCTTTTCTTGGGAAGCCAGAGTCTGTTAACCACAATTCAGGGCACATCGCGACGCTTACTGCAGTCACGCATGCATGCTTGCAACAGTTAAAATATGTTATAATGTGGGTTTCGTAAGCAGTAGCAGCTTAGTAGGCAAGACGGTTGGACAGTTCTGGGGTTTATGTAGGTGCCTAGAAATTGGGGACTTTCCCCAGAAGACACATTTTCGTAAGCATTATTGTACCAACATCGGCTTTCGGGCACTATGCCCAAGCAATTGGAGGACCCTTCATATGAAATTTAGATGCAAAGGGAAATCACCCATATCGGAACATGTACCGGCATCAATAGCTCGGCAATTACTTAGAGGGCGTGGGGTAGACAGGCCCACATATCAACAATATGGTGCTTATGCTTTTTCCTGTGTTGGCTCATAGTTTCCATTTTTGGAACCTTCCGTTTCCAAAAATGGAACGTTGACAAGGGTTTGCGTCAGGGCATCAGATTCGCCATTTGCGTACGAAAATATTGTTGGATTTTACTGTTTTGGGAGAAAACATATCGACGAAAAGACACGCCAGCTGAAAAGATTACTATTAACTTAAGAAATACAGAAATATGCCTGCTTAAAAATTGGCGTTTCTAATTTTGGAACTGGCGTTTCCATAAATGGAACAAAGTGCCTTCCAAATTTGGAAACGTTTCCTTTAATAGATACGTATCCATAAATGGACTGCCGATACCATAGTGCGCCCGACTGAAACAGTGAGGGAGCCATTTGCCGAGGTGGCCCGAATAACCCAAGCTGCGGAGTCCAGGTTGTAAATGGAGACAAGGCTGTTCAGTGTGACCGATGTCAGCAGTGGTTTCACATTAAATGCCAGGCCATACCGAAGCTTGCTCACGATGCATTGATCAAGTACAAATGTCTGGCATGGCTCTGTGAGACGTGTAAAAAAATCCTCAATGATGTTGAGATCAGTCCTGCAACCCCGAAGGACGGAATGGATCTTACGGCACTTGAAGGTAAGGTCCAAAACATAGGCGACATGGTCAGGGACCACATGAAGATCATTGCCCAGTCAATGAAAGAGCAAGAAAAGGTGGTGTCCGACAGTGCCAAACTACTAGAAAGAATATGTAAGGACCAGCACAACCAAAAAGCAACATATGCAGATATGGTCCGAGGCACCTGCGACAAGGTGGTCAAAGAAGTAAGTGCCAAGATTGAGACTCTTCCAGCAACGGTTGGAGCCAAAGACACATCAGAGGCCACCAGAGCGATGTCCAGTGTCTTTGACAGCTATATGGACAGGGAGAAGCGGAAACTAAATGTGGTGGTCCACAACCTTCCTGAGGACGACTGTGCAACACTGGCTGAAAGATCTGTAAGAGACCAGGAGTTGTTCAGAGATGTCATCAAAGCAGGCATGAACCTCAGTGTTCATCCTACTAGATCATTCAGAGTCGGGAAGAAGCTGGAAGACAGACCTAGACTGCTGATTGTCACCCTGGACAGTGTTGAAACAAAGGCTGAACTGCTGAAAATGGCACCTCAACTCCGGCATTTAACTACTTGGAAGAGGATCTACGTCACACCTGATTTATCCAAAAAGGAACGGGAGGAAGGAAAGCGATTGAGGGAAGAACTCACTGCTCGACGGCAAACTGGTGAGACAAACATTGTGATCAAGAGGGGAAGGATAGTGACTGTGCCAGATGAGGGTTCCACTACAACCTCTGGACAGAGGAAAGAGGCTGGCAACAGCAGAAGCAAGGCCTCAAAGGGGGAGACGGCAGGCAAGGTGCCACCCTCGGTTGAGGTAACCAGATCATCTGCTGCGCAGGGAACCCCCGTCACAGTGAGTCAAGAACCGACCCAAACTGGAGGTGCAGTGGAGGCCTCCGAAAACAGTGAACGCAACCCATGCTCTCAGGATTGACGCTATCAGAGAACAAGCCATGGTAAGATTGTTAACAGAAGAGAGCTGTCTGTTTATTATACAAACGCAGATCAACTAGTGAACAAGCGTGATGACTTGTGCATGCAAATAGCAGGTACAGAGCCCGACATCATCATGATAACCGAGGTAATCCCCAAAGCACAACTGCTCCCCCTTTCACCTGCACTTCTCGCTATTGCCGGGTACAACTTGTACACTAACTTTGAAATTACCCAACCAAGGCTGGGTTGCAGTGGGTATCGTGGGCTCTGCATCTATGTGAAAGAGACTCTACGCTGTGCAGAAACATCATTTGGCACCATAGCAACCATTGAGCATCTGTGGGTCAATGTTGACTTACTGAACAGCGACAAACTCCTGATAGGCTGCATATATATAAGCCCCTCAACCAACAGACATCAAAGCATGCTGGAGCTTACAGAAGTATTGAAGAAAGCATCACATTCAAAACCGTCACACATGCTGATTGGAGGCGACTTCAACGTTCCCCAAATTGACTGGGCCAATGTTTTCTCTCCAGAACCAGAAGGCCACTACTCTCACTACTTGATCAAGTGTGTTCAGGACTGTTTCCTCACCCAGCATGTGGCAAGACCCACCAGATTTAGACCAGGGCAGCCCCCAAGCACCCTTGATTTGCTTCTCACCAATGAAGAAGGCATGATGAGAAACTTAACTTACATGCCAGGCTTGGGTCACAGTGATCACATTTCTCTGAGGTTTGAATTAGCATGCTACACGGAACGACGGACGCCTGATGCTGTGCCAAACTACAACAAGGGCAACTACAACCTTTTGAGGGACCTGGTTGGGGAAGTTGATTGGTCGAGGATGCATGATAACAACGTGCACCAGGCCTACAGCTTCTTCAAGGAATCCCTGCAAGATGCAATCAAACAATCAATTCCACCAGCAAGGCCCAGGTCACGCAAGAACTTGTACATTAATGGCAGGGCAATGAAGCTCAAAAGGAAGAAGGCTTCTCTGTGGCGAGCCTATGCACAATCAGGAGATCCCTTCGATTATGCCCGATACTGCCACTGTCGCAACATGCTTCGCAGCCTCACAAGGAAACTTCGAGCTGAATTTGAACAAAGAATCTCTTCTGAGCTGAAATCCAATCCAAAAGTGTTTTGGAAGTACGCAAACTCGAGGCTGAAAACCAAGCCTGGCATAGAGGACCTGAAGGATGAAAATGGTCACCTGTGCACCGATGACACGATGAAGGCTACAGTTCTAAATAACTTCTTCTCTTCAGTATTCACAGACGAAGATCTAGCCGCTGTCCCAGTCTTGTCTCCCGGGGGCTCACCTGCTGAGGCTGTGGATCTCAATATCACCGAGACCATGGTTGAAAGACTACTGCAAGGTTTGAAAACCTCCAGTTCTCCCGGCCCGGATGGAATCCACCCGAGAATATTGAAGGAGGCAGCTGGACAGTTGGCTCGGCCCCTCACTATTCTGTTTCAGAAATCCATTGACACTGGGTCATTACCAGATGATTGGAAGCTTGGCACTGTTGTCCCAATTTTCAAGAAGGGTAGCAGGCAGGAACCAGGCAACTACCGTCCTGTGAGTCTGACTGCCATACCATGCAAGATACTAGAGTCACTCATCAGAGACCATATCATGACTCACCTCACCGCCAACCAACTTCTGCACAGCGACCAGCATGGATTTAGGCCTAGGCGCTCATGCACCTCTCAGCTCCTGGAAGTGATCGAGGATTGGTCTCTGTGCTTAGAGAATGGAGAACCGGTCGATGCCATATACCTTGATTTTAAAAAAGCATTTGATTCGGTGCCCCACCAGCGTTTACTGAGCAAGCTGGAGAGCTATGGCATCGCGGGAACTCTCAAGAGATGGATCGCCTCATTCCTTCAAGATCGCCAGCAACAGGTTGTGGTGAGAGGCTGCTCCTCTCCATGGGCACCAGTCACTAGCGGCGTGCCTCAAGGCTCTGTTCTCGGCCCTACCCTGTTTATGTTATATATTAATGACCTGCCCAGAGTTGTCGACAGCGCCATCAAGATTTTTGCTGACGACACAAAGATATACCGTAGTGTGTCTCACAGCAGTGGGTCAGAGGAACTCCATAGGGATCTTGAGGCGGTCATCACATGGTCTGACAGGTGGCAGCTCCCATTTAACGATGCTAAATGCAGGTCACTTCATGTGGGACCGAGAAACCCCTGCCATACCTACAAGATGGGTGGAGCCGAACTAGAGCATACTCGTGCAGAGAAAGATCTTGGAATCTTCCTTGATGATGAGCTGAAGTTCCGCATGCAAGCCGCTGCAGCATCCTCAAAAGGAAACCAGTTACTTGCTCTCATCAAGCGATCCTTTCTTTGTATCGACAGGGTTACCCTACCCTTGCTGTTCAAGACACTTGTAAGACCCCACTTAGAGTATGGCAACCTGATATGGGGACCCTTCAACCGAGCCGACCAAAAGTTGATCGAGCGAGTGCAGAGGAGAGCCACAAAGCTTGTTCAGGACATCAAGCACCTACCATACCAGGAGCGCCTCAAATGCCTGAGCCTGCCATCCCTCTACTACCGAAGGAGAAGGGGTGACATGATCGCCATGTACCAGATCTTCAGTGGAGGTTTAGATGTCCAACCTGAGAAATTCTTCACACCTGCCCCTGGAGTTGGTACAAGAGGTCACAACAAGAAGTTGAGGAAGCCCCAGGCCCAATCAAGAGTCAGAAGACACGCACTTTCAACAAGAGCTGTGAATGACTGGAATGCGCTTCCTCCTTCTGTGATCCTGGCATCCACTCTCAACCAGTTCAAGGCCAGATTGGACGATCACTGGAACCGAATCAAATACTTCATCCCAGATTAGTATCCACGAGAGTCCTCAGTTCAGGAGCTCGATGCGAGCGGGACCCTACAGGCCATAGTGGCCATCAAAATTCCCGTATTGGTAAGGTAAGGTAAGGTAAGGAATTATTAGAATGTTCTTTATAAGCACGGGTAAGGTTTTGTTGATGAGCAAGGGGTGGACACTGGTCATGGTGGATCCAGAAAGGCGGCTTTCGATGCTGCGGCGGTTCTACTCTGACTCAATAAGCTCCTTTGTTTTGGTTTTTCTGGAAATTCCTAAGATTTTGCTGGTGCTTTTGTTTGCTTGCTTATTTGGTGCTATGCTGATGGATGAAAATTTTAAGCTATCAAAATTTTTAAGTTTCCCTTTAATGAGAGGAAGGCAAATAGATGTTGTCATTTGTATGCTGGGGAGGGACAAGTGACCCTAATGCCTCTCGCCCCTTGGATCTGCCAGTGAGGACTGAGGGTAGGCAAGTGGGTATTGGTGGCTGGTGGGGCAGGTATCACCAACAGTAAATGGTTTATGCATAGTGGCCTCATAATGTACCGGCCTTGTATGTTTTCATCAGAAAGCTATTGGTGGGGCCCGCCGCATAGATCTCAGCAAGAGGACAATTAATTGATGATGATGTTGTGATATCATGATGCTCAGCTCATGTTGTGAAAAATATTTTGCTATGGAAGCTAATGGATGTCAATGGAAGCACCAGGTTGATATTTATGTCCTAATGACCAATAGGTACTGATCTAAGTTTCTTTTTAGGCTGTTGCCAATTCCCAATGGTGTATTACATTTATGGTCATTTCATTGCTTCAAACAAATGGCAGACAGATACATCAGAATTCAGGACACTTAAATGCTTTGCTAGTGCTCAAAGTAGCAAAGCAGTATCCATCCATTGTGCATGGCTGATGGGAAAGTCCTCTTTGGATTTGCTGGTGCAATAAGTATTGTGCAGTTTGTTTTTGCTCACTACCTACATCCTGTTTGTGTGATATTGACAATGTTCAGTTCAGGGTTTATGCCTCCACTCATGGTGGCACTGTCCAGTGCCCATTCCTCATTGTCATCGATTGATGTATATAGTCACAAGCCAGAAAAAGTCGAGATTCCAGATCTTTTGGCCTATCCAATTCCAGCATCCATGCTACAGTACCTTGTCGATATTTTGTTAGGTGTACCTAGTTGTTTTTTTTTTCTTTTGGCCTATTTCTTTGTCTATGATCATTTTTATTCAGTACTCTTGAGCCTTGACTTGAGTTCAGCAGGAAGCTAACCCAACTCAATTCCCTTGTTGATTTGTATAATGTAGGCATTTTCAAGTGGTGATGAAATAATCTGATGGTTCAGCAAATCATGTTCAATCATTTCAAACATACACAAACATTGCACTGATGAGCTTGCACTTAACAGGAAAAAGATATGATTGACAAACCTGAGGGCTATGTTTTTTCTCTTATTTCAGTTGTATGTGAAATTAAGTGAAATTAAATTGGGTATTTCCTTTTGCAGAATGGTGATGCTGGGTCGCTTCTTCCAGAAAACATCTCATGCTTATCAAATGCCCACCAAGTCAGGCAGACCTGTACCAGCATGAAGAACCTTTGATAAATATTGGTCAAAAGGTGTACGTGATCCATCAGGGTCACCCAGTGATAGTGAGATGGCTCGCGGACGGCTGCTTCGGCCCTCCGTGCTGCACCGCCAGATCGCCAACATGCGCGTGTTCCCGCGTGTGCGGCTCGAGTGCTGCGTACTCATAGCCATCGCCTGGTGCGCGCTCGTCACCTTCCTCTTCATACAGTACGGCGAGGACCAGGTGCACAGCAAGACCCTCCAGGAGACAAACAAGTGTCCCGTCTGCTTCGGACACACCAGCTGCTTCATGCTTCACTCGAGTAACATGCACGTCGTCAAGCTCACCGGCCTGTCCAAGGTGTCACTCTTCAACTACATCAACGTCAAGAACGTGTTCTTCGGCAAGTACAAGGGTGACGAGATCGTGCTGAAGAAGCTGGCGCACGACTCGGAGTTTGCCGAGTTTGACGGTCGCGTGTGTAACGGCTCGGCGCGCTGTACGCCTCGCGGTCGGCTCTTCACGCGGCTGCTGCGCGGCGTGTTCCCCGACATCTCCGACGGCCGCTCCGAGTCGCTGGCGCTCGCCGCCGGTGTCGGAGACCGCTTCCTGCGCGAGCACCTCACCTGTCCCTCGCAGCGACTCATGCGCAGACTGTTTGACGCGCTCGCCGACGAGTCCAAGGAGAAGTTCCTTCACTTTGCCACGATGCTGCTCATCAACGCCGAGCCGCTGCTGCTGCAGGTAAGTAATAGATAATGCAGACCAACATTCTGGTGTGCATTATATGTCCAAGAAATCAATTTGTATCTATCTGATATGTCGTTCTGCATTCGTGTTATTTTGTGAATATATGTAGCGTACCGCACTTGTTGATGACGTGTTCCCTCCATTGAGACAGGATGGGTGTTGTAATATCAGCTTCCACTTATCGACCCTGCCATGACGTTGCCCGTTTCCTCCGTCCACGCGCCAGGCGTTTCCGCAGTCGGAGGGCTGGCCGTTTCCGCGCTACCTGGGCGCGTGCGGCCGGCTCGTGATGGAACAGTACGTGGGACCGACGCTGGCCAACTTCCGAGACGCCCCCTGGCAGCAGCGGGTCGAACTGGCCCTGCAGGTGGGGAGACACTGCCACAAGTCCAACCCAACCACAGAGGGTTCGGTTGGACTTGTGGGGATTCAATACGGTTTGGATAGCAAGCTACTAAATATGTACTTGATGTCTTTGGCTTGTCACTGTTAAGTGTTTTCTTTACGCTCGGTGTTGTAGTCAATGCTCGAAGCTTCTAGTGCTATAACTGCCGCCCTTTCTATATTTTGTGTGCCGTGTATGTTTCTTGGACCGGATATCCGCTGTATGTTTTACATTTGGAGCGGATATCCGCTTAAATATATGTTCATCGCTGCAACCAACCCGCACGTTGCGACTGAGTGTGCATCGCTACCGTCCCGCTCACCACTCGCTGTGTATGTCCCCAGCTGCTGGAGATTGCCGACATGCTGACCACAAACGACAGCGACTTCAACCTGTACATGACGGACGTGACTGCCGACAACCTGGCCGTGGATGCGGACGGACGCGTTCACCTGGTGGACGTGGAGGACGTGGTCATCGTGGACCGGCAACAGCTGGAGAAAGGTTGGTCGTGAGGGAGGGTTACAGTGAACGCGCTATTTGTCTGTGCAGCAGGAAGAAGTTGGATAGATTTTACAGTCTAACCGGGCGTGCACGACTGCTGGGGTGATGTGTAACAGATGTCGTATTTAAATCGATGTGAAAATGGTTTTCGGATGGGGAAAACCTTTAAGCGATCGCGATTGAAAGAAACCAGCATGACATTGGCTTGACTGAATAGGGACGCTCATACTCAGATTGTTTCCGGTGTTTTGACTAAGTCGTTTTGTCGTTTTGTCGTAAGAGTCGTTTTGCGCTCTCTGGTGAATATTAATTGTTTAGGTACGCTAGTGCGATGTTATTATCGGCGCATGCTTGCGAAATGAATTTGCAAAATCACAACCGACATAGAACGTCGAACGACGCCCCCCCCCCTTCTCCGCACGCAGACGCGCCAGCAGACTGGAACAAGACTCACGTCACTCCCATCCTCTGTGACGACTGCATGGGTTACGAGGCCGACCAGCTGTGCGGACACCACATCTCCGATCACAACTACTTCGCAATCTGCAAGGTGGGTCCTGGTGTGCCCAGGTGGGTGTGGATAAGATCGGAGTTGGTTCGGTTAGTGACCTTACAGAGTGACAGCATCTGCAGAGTACAAGCGGCGCAGGTTATAGACAGGACGACTAATATTGTTTTTGCTGATTGAATATATTTTATCTATGTTCTTTGCTCACACCAACGGCTGCATCTTTCATATGTTGCGGTTGCGGATAATGGAAAACGATTAAATGTTCTCACGTGGTTGCGATACCTTTCATCTGTCCCCATTCGCTCCCTGCCTTACCCTTCCCAGGTCTGACCCCACCCCACCCGCTGTCCTGCCGACAGGGCCTTCTGGCGCCGAACGCGTTCGGTCGCGGTATGTCTGGCGGCCTGCTGCACAGCGTGCCGGCGCTGGTGACCTCCACCCACCCAGAGTTGGAGCGCTGGCTGCGCCTCTGCGCCGACCCGGGACCCGACGGCGGGTCACGCTTCGGGCCAGCCGCCGAGCTGCGGCGAACGCTCAACCAGGTGCTCGAGGAGGCCAGTACTGAATGACCGAGGGGGCAGAGGGATTGTAGGTTTGAGCTTTGGATGCCGGGGAGATTGTGGTGTGGGAGGTGGGATTGTGGGATACGGGACGGGAGGCAAGAGGTGACATTTGGGACTTTAAGGCACGGGAAGGATGAAAATGTTTATTTGGTAATGAGCACTAATCGTTGACACGGGAAGGACTGGCTGGTTATGAGAACCATCGGGTGACAGGGGACTGGATTCAGAGTTTCCCTACCCACTGGGATATTCTTGGAATGACATTCTGTGGGAGAAGAACTGTTGCAGAAGACTGGATTAACTTTATCATGACCTGAATGGCATGATGCCGACTGAATACTTCGGAATGAGGCTTCCAGTAAAGGAACGGGATATTATGATCGATTACGGGCATACAATAGACTCATGACATGAACGAGCAACAGCCTAGACCACACCGTGTTCTATGCTCTAGGTTTGTCTTGGCTGCGTTCGTACAGCGCTGTGACTGCGTCCATTTCTACCACCTTTGCCGATTTTGAGTGACGCCGTGTCCCTCAAGTGTCCGATCATGACCACTAGTGCCCCTTTGGGAGGCCTGCTTTCTAACGTGCGACTTTTGCACTTCTTACGCGAAACATAATCGAGGGGTTTTAGCCCAGAATTTGAATCACAGCCATTGTGTGCCATCGAACGATACATCTGTACATCTGTAAATTCACATAAGTGATTTCAGGATGGCTAAGGTCTGGCTGCTCTACATAGGTTCTAAGGCTTCTTCGATTCCCGGTTTTAGTCTTTTTTCCTCCATGTGGTTCTTTCTCTTTTGCAATTGATTTCCTGATGAGTTAGATAGCCATGACATTTGTGCCGTTGTCATTATTTGGTTTTATCATTGTCTAAGGCAGTCTAGCCATAGTTTCATACTTGGGTTTCTCGCCTTATTTATTGAGTTTTCTGCGGAATGGTGGATACGAGTATGCGTCATTCAACCGAGTAGCCGATACTTTCGATTGTTTTCGTTCGATTTACTGAGAAGGCGTGGGTAGTCTCAAGTCTATAATGGAAAAAGTCTATAAAAGCGCCCAACTCTTGCCGTATAGCTTGCACCTATCGGCTATCACTTTCGACAACCCCAGAGATATGCTTAAAGCGTGCGTTGGCCTACGGGCTTCCATGAAAAACTGTAGGTACCGGTCATGTGCTGTCGGTGGCGGGCACGTTGATGGTATGAGCAGCTGCCATAGGACTCTCTGGTGTTTGGGACTTAGGTGACCGGTTCGCAGTGTTTGCCTCTTGTGTTGCTACCGCGCAGCACTCACGACAGCTCGCCTAGCTTTATACGGGCATTGGCGTAGACGCGACCGTCTCTGTGTGTGTAGATTACCACGACGCTTACACGCAGCTTCCAGCGAGCAGTGGCGATAAATGTTCCAGTGTCGAGCTTAGACGTAGATCGTTGTTGTGACATTGATGTTAGAAACGTGTGCAGGCAGGCGCAGAAATGATTTATTTTTGCATGTGTTTACTGGCTTCACCTGTAGATGTGTAGTCGTTTTATGAGTTGTTCTGAGGAAGTGTTGCATTTATATCGTGAACGTATCAAAGAGAATGTTTATTGTTTATTCCAGGACACCTTAGTGATAGGATGTCTTCGATGGGTCTGTGTTTTATTGGATCCAGTAGGTTGGAAGCAGTCATATGGGTTAACCGTGTGTGCCTGACAGCTGCCAGTAATACTGAATTACTCAAGTCATCTGTGTCCATGCATTAGTTAATTGCACCTGTTAGACATTCACAACTCACGCAATTAATTGTATTTACATTGTGTTCACTTCAGTGCACCTGTACGAAGCCAGTGGTCTTACGCAAGCGCTTGCGACAAATATTGTGAGATCACTAGAGCGCTCTATAGATCGTGTTCGGTGTTCAACGGTAGAACAGACGTGTTAGCATTGTATCAGAGCTTTACACCGCTGTGTAGCCGTTTCGTGTTGTACCGTTTGCATGACATGCGCCACACATCGGCCGTAAGTGTGTACTGTATGTAGGTGGTAGAATTCCTTTACAAGGCAGTCTTCTCAGTTGTTCGACCGGGCGAACGATGTGGTCGTTCTGGCCTGGTTGGCAGCAGTGTTCATAGTCGGCCCCCGCCGGGGCCGGCCCCATCCATCAGTGTTTTGTAGGTGTTCATCACACATCGAGGCTGTGGCATGTGTTGTTTTCGTAATATAAACGCTGAAACGTCCTATCAATGTATCCGTTTGATTACCGGGTTCGTTCAGCCTGAATAGAAGCCAGATGGATAACCTCCCCGTGATGGACCAGAGGACATAGCATTTCACATCTTCCACGATTCACGAATCAGGAATAAATCGCTACCGCACTGTCCCGTGCCAGAAACGATCGAGCTGGACACACTAGCTTACCGGGAAAGTAGAGGTGCACAGGAAATAAACATTTTTCGGAATGTATTGCCTCACGCTGCCTATTCAGCTAGAATTGCACTTGGCGGAATGTGGGGTTTTACTCTCGCCCGGGGTTCACATTGCAGCTCGTCTGTTTACATAAAATTGACCACAGCACGGGGACCTCAGTACAGGCACGGGGACATACTGAGGCACGGGGACCTCAGTATGTTATTCGGTGGATAATATCACACCCAAATCCAGCTAAGAGCACTAGAATAGAACAGCATCTTTCACCTCGTAATTACAAAACGATATGTCGAAGACCCATGCATTATACACATCGTGAAATTACATCGCGGTGATTGCACAATGTTTATAAAAATAGCGTTGTAAGCTCTGCATAAATGCATGAAAAATACGATGTGAATGCAAATAACTATAGGATATCCCACAAGATAAGTCATCGGCGAGGGAAAGGCACTAGTAGCCTTGTTCCTTACATGATCAAAACATGGAAAGATGAGACCAAGAAGGGAAATGAACTGAGCCTTATCCATATTACGACGCATTTCTCAACACATCCACGCTCGTCCCAAATCTAGACGATGCATATTGCATATAGTTGTTGGGACCCAATGCCCATTCACATCATGCGCATTTATAAAAGTGGTAAGATGAAACGCGGCAGGTCGAAGGAAACCTGCGCCGATAATTCCATTCCCATTAACTACAGCCTCGGTAACATTGCAATGCACATTTTATGGCGAATTATTAAGTCACACGATCCATCTCTCTACCACAGGAAGATTGCGATAAACAGTCATAAAAGGCAATAAAACTCGCAACGAGGAGCCACACAGCACTATAAACATCTCAGCGTAACGGTAGCAGTGGCGTGGCCTCATAGTATGGGATTAAACGCTACCGTGGCCGCTGTATTACAGCATACTGACACTCTGTCGTCTCACAATTCACCGACAACTCACCACCACATCTCACAGGCGGGACACACTAGTCTGGATCCCAGCGACACCCCGCGACACTGGATATAGGTAGAATTGTGCCTCAAGACCCCACTGATGCGGACGGTACCTCCTGGTTAGAGGTCCGAATTCCTGATGAACCGGTTACCCTCGGAGTGTTTTCCGACGTACCGGTACGCCAGCTGGCCGTACACCGCTGTGGGAACGCGGGGGGATGGTTACACACACGGAGAGAGAGATGAGAAGGCACGGTAGTTTTGAAGTGCCATGTGATGTGACATCAGCTTATGTCGTTGATGTCCGAAGTCTAGCTAGCTACTGAACTAGAGGTCCAATAAGGGTGACTGATTCCAGAGAATATTTTGAACAACTTCCTCTTATTTCATTTGAAGCAAAATTAGCGTAAATAGGCATGGAGGCAAAAAAACGGGCACCAGCTAGCTGTTCGGCGAGATCACACGTTGAAGACGCATAAAAAAACTGTCAAACTGCAAAGAACAGGTAAACTTATCATTCTAGTTATATTGCTGCCCTATATCGTTCTTTGGGAATCATTGACCCCCGTTACCGTTCGTTCGTTCGTTCATTGGGGTTTACGGGCGCGTCGACTGCGGTGGTCATTTTGCGCCCATAACGCTGTACTGGTAAAGCGGATATGTCAACAGAGAACTGACGAACTGAAGAAGGCTAGAACTACTTGAGATACGTTATACTAGTAAAACGAGTATATCACAGGAAAACTGATGGATTGAATATAAGAAAAGATGCTGCCGGATAAAACCCAGGGTGAGTTATCACCCAGCAGGTGGCGAATGGTGGTGCCTGGGGGAATGCGGCCGAGGCAGCGTGTCCGGTTTGGTTCGAGGTGCGGGCAACTTAAGAGAATGTGAGTGACTGTGAGCGGCACGGCACAATGGATACATGTTGGTTGATCATATTCTCCACGGAGGAGATAGCCATGCGTTGCATACGTATGCCCTATCCGTAGTCTGCAGAGGACCACTTCATGGTGTCTTTTGCCTTGAAAGCAGGACTGCCAGGGCTCCAGAGTAGGTTTCACCTTTCGTAGCTTCTCGGATCCATGGAGACGCCACTCTGTCTGCCAGCTAAACGTCGTAAAAGATCGAACGGCTGGGTAAAAATCGCGAGCCGGCAGAGGCAAACGACGGAGGCAGGGGGCCGCGGCCGCGCGTCTTGCGGCCGCGTCGGCAAGCTCGTTGCCTCTTATGCCCACATGGCTCGGTATCCAGCAGAACTGGATGAATTTACCTGCTCGTTCCACCGACGTAAGACGAGATAAAATGTCTTGTACTATCGGGTTGTCTGGATTAAAACTCCGTAAAGATAAGAGGCTGCTAAGGGAGTCTGACAAGATCAGATAGCAGGAGCTGTCAGACACCTCGATAAAACACAAAGCCTTCTCAATTGCAACGAGCTCGGAAAAAAACAGAGGCAGAAGTTGGCAAAGAGAATGTGCGTGTGTCATGACCAGTCACAAAAGCGCAGCCGACACCATGTTCTGTTTTCGAGCCGTCTGTAAAAACCGAGGTAAAACCATCATATGAGGCAATGTGGACCCCCGTTACCATTCCCACGTGTTACATATGACCCCATTTTCCACCGTTCACTGTGTATATGTCCGCCCGTGCGTTTATAAATATCAGCCTCTGCGCGCGCGGTCGGCACGCACGTGTCTGAGTGTGCGTCTGTATTGTATACTCACGTCCTCGCTTCTGTCGGTCGACCGGGGGCGGCGGCGGCGCGATAGCCGAGTCGAGGGCGTCCATTCCCCACTCTGTGCGCGCCGGGCCGGTCGGACCGCTGAACTGTGGAACAGACCGGAGGGAGCGTGGTCAAAGGGAGATGTCTGTCAGCTGGATGGCTGGTTTATAACGTGGCAGGGAGGAAATGGTAGTCATTAGCATACATCATAAAACACATGGATGTTCGGCTTATCACGGGAGATCCGGCGCCAAAATGGACTACTAAAGGTACGACTTATTGCCCCGTCGATAACTGTTATATGTTGTTTTCTTTGCACGAAATTCGTGAGCCTCTGTTAAGTTAATAGTATTTTTTCCAAACCCGCATTAAAGCGACCTGCAATGGGGCATGCTATATACTTGATCAAACAAAACCAGCTGGAATGACAGTGAAAATTGGCCCCAGATAACGCGACAATGTGCGGAAAAGGCAGACAAAACGTCAACACAGCAGACACGACCAATATCAAAGTTTCACAGCAGAAGCCGACAAAAAGAACTGTCATGGACACGCCAAAACGCGGAACAGCTTCGGCCGTTTGTCACTGCCAGACTTGGATGTGTGTTCAATACAAACGACTCCGGCCGGCCATGCACTGGAAGGAGTTTTAAGTGGTCCGCCAAGAATGTGCCCCCGTCACGCTAGTCACGAGGCAGCAAGTTTGCAGTTATTTCCCGAAGCTGTTTGAAAGTTACGTTTGTTGACGTGATTGTTTGTTGACAGCAGCAATGCACTCAGGAGGAGATAAGTGGAGTCATTGCAAAAATGAGACATTGCAAGCTTACATGACCCACTACGCCGATAAGGTTCTGACACCGTTTTTGCCTGCTGTCTAATCAAGCTACTTAAATTCGGTCGGGCCGATCCATGGAATCAATAGCGTTAGGCTCTTTTCCTCGCTTCCACCCGTCTGTTCGGTCACTCACCCTGATGAGGCGCGCGGTACGGCAGTACTGGCCCCGTCGCTTCGCCTCCAGACGCTCCTTCCGCGAGACGACCATCGAGTCCAGGAACAGCAGGTTGGGCAGCATGTAGAGCACATACAGTCTGAAAGGATGCAGAGAAAACGACTCAGTGTGTGTCTCAATATGGAATTTCACAAACAATTTGTGTTCAGAGGGGTGGCAACGACAAAATTTCGCCGCGAAACTCATGAACAGCATATCCTTAGAGCGTATTCTTTCTAGCAATGTCCTGGTGATTTTAAGCCTCCACACTAGCAACAGATATTGCCAACACATGTCTGCTGGTGACACGCACTGTCCTCAGTCCTCTGACCCTGTCAGTCGCTGACCTGTGTCGGGCGTAGTCCTCGGGCGTGAAGCGGTCTCCGGTGAGCTGGTCGGGGCTGCACGGGTTCCCCAGGAGGCTGAGGTACGTCAGGCGGGTGGCACACCTCTGCAGCGTCACCAGCAGCGGCTCCAGCTCCTCAATCTATCCACAGCAGCAGTCAGGGTAACCCAGAGGCCATGTCATGGCAGTGGCTGGTCGAGATCTTATGGTAAAGATGAATATCTAATGCATTTTGCAAAATGGGGCAACAAAAAACTAGTTCAATGCCCAAAAACTTAATTTGTCAGATGTATTACAAAACTCAAATAACAGTGTTCAAGTTCTGACATCACTCCAGGTACTTTTATTCAAACCTATCTTGTCTGAGTTCTGACCTTGTTCTTGTTCAAAGACAGGGTGTGCATTCTCGGCATCCTGTTCAGCTGAAGACAGGTGAGCTCGTTGTTGTCCAGCACCACCTCCTCCACCCTGGGGAACATGTCCAGTCCCTTGGATGTTCTGCAAATCGGGCAACAAGAATGTCTCTCAACTCAACCCTTCAGCCTTTGTAACACCTGAATTCAATAGCATTTTCAGCATCAGACACAGGCCAGAGGGCACAGCTTCAAATATGCTGAAATCATCAATCTTGGTTCTGAGAGAATAGTCTTCTAGTAGGATCCTATTTCAGTGCAAAAGAAGGAATAAAAAATAACTTAATCAGCATACTGGTGACAGGCAATTGATTTTCATAAGAAAGGTGAACTTCACAGGCATTTTGGTGTACCTATCAGCTGCTCCAATCTACATTCTGCATGATA